AGTTGGTACAAAATTTAAAGAAAAAGTAAAATATCTGGCAAAAAGTAGATGTAAGAAGCGCAAAACGTCAACAAACATTCAACGATACTCAACAAACGACGACGTTTTAGTATTTCTGAATGGAAAGCGAAGGCACCAAGAAAAGCGAGAACATGCCCGAAACATTAACGAAATTTTTCAGCTAAAAGTCAATGGCATGGCCGATGAAATTCTGCAGGTGGCAATAACCTGATAAATGAGCGCGTAAATTTTCATTAATTGGCGCTTAATGAAAAACACGTTTTTTTATTGAAGAATATAAGGGAAGATATACATATGTATACTATAGCGGTCCGATCAAAACAATTTATATAGAGACTAAAACTTCGACTTAAACAATAATATCCGCAAAATTTCAAGATTTTTTGTCAAATAAAAAAGTTTTCCATACGAGGACTGAATTTTGACTGATCAGTTTGTATGACTGCTATATGCTATAGTAGTCCGATCTAAACAATTTGGTCGGAAATTATAGCTTTGTTTCTAGAAATAATCTATATAAAATTTCTTGAAGATATCTAGTAAAATAAAAGAGTTGCCCATACAAAAACTGGATTTTCAATGATAAATTTGTATGACAGCTATATACTATGGTGGTCCGATATCGGCAGTTTCGACAGATGAGCCGCTTCTTGGCGAGGAAAACACGTGTGCAAAATTTCAATTCGATGCCACAAAAACTGAGCGATTATTTCAAGTATTCATCGATAGACCAGGGTTATCGACTCAACTCGTCAAGTTGAACATGCATACATATTGATATTTTAAAAGGTCTCTAACATTTCCTTCTGGATGTTAAAAAATTAACATACCCTGTTGAGGGTATAAAATTGCAGAAAAATGTATAAAAGTAAAGAAGGATGTAATCCATATCGAATAGTCGAACCCTTACTTCGCCAATAGCACGAATATGTGATATGAGTAATCAGAGGAGTGCATGCAGTTTTGCGAAAGCAAAAGGTAAACAGACATACAAACAAACATATATACATACGAGCAGCTGGTCAGCTGCACTGACAGAAAACGACCAGACCGGAGATTTACATAAATGCAAAGCAAATAAAAACGCCACGAGGCAAGAAAGGAAGTTTATGACAGAATATGAAAATTGCAACGCATACATATATATTTATGTATGTAAATTGCGCTAATGTATGTTGGTAAGAACATGTGCAAATATGTATGCAAATCGAGAACAGAAAGTTACGCCGAACTCAGTCACAGCAGCCGATCAGCAGAACAACAACGACAAGTAAACGACGAGTAAATAAAAACTAATGAGGAACGAAATATGCAAGTTTTTGCAGCAAAATAAATATTAGAACTTATAAAACATTGTACAGCTGATGTGATAAAAAATTAAGAAAACCGACACATTCCGAAGACTTTGGAGAAGAGCAGTCATCGCCTTCAACACAATTACAGCAAACAGCAAGAATTGCAAAGCGCACAAAGAACGATAAATGAAAGATAACTGGTCGTTAAGCAAAGGGCAAGTTTATGTGTGAATTAACGCAATTTCTTTACTAATTCGGCTTAGTATGAAAGATTGTGTATGCAAAAATAAAATACAAAAGAAGTTACAAAGAAATTAAAAAAGTAAATGAAATGAAATAAAAGGTAGCAGCGAAAAGTATAAAAAATATATATCAAAAGTATTAAAACAACACAAAAAAGTGGCTTGTTTTGCAGTTGTCCGCGCTCGTTCGGGCACTGGTTGAGCCGGGTCTGGTTTATTGTACTTGTCTTGTTGCTTTGCAGCTAGCTGCAGCGAATTGTTGTTGTGGCTTTCAAGTTGGAGTGGCAGTTATTGCTGCTGCTGCCGCTGCCGGTGCTTCTGCTGCTAACGACGTTGTCTGACCAGCTCGAGTGACGCTAGCAGCAGACCGCATGGACTTGTAGCCGGCGCGTCGCAATGCACAGTACACTCTTAAACTGGACTGCAGTTTCATTTTACGACTTTCTTTTAAGTGTTATTGTTGTTGTTGTCGATGCCATTGATGGATTTCTTTCTTATTTTCTTGCTTTTGCTTGGTTTAGTTTTCGCTTTTGGTAGCCGAAATCCAACATCAGCCATTGAATGTATCTACCTTTACTTGGCAGCTTCTTTGTTATAGCAGGTTTTTGTCAAGACATTAGAAGACATTGCTGCAGACTAGACAGTTTATAGATTTTTGAATTGAAATTAAAATTTGAAATGGTTTGAATTGCCTTTTTGTGGCCTCAATGCAGAGGGAAAATAATAAAAGCAGATAATAGTTTGCATTTTTGGATTTTAGCATGTTGTTGTTAGATTCGTTTGATGTCATTTGAAGGTCATTTAGTATATGTCTCAGTACCGTTGATACCGCCCCCTACATGTATGAAAGGCATTAGGTTTTGTAATATTTTCTTGAGATGACGATAATATTGGTTATTCATATTTTAGTCAAGTCAACAGTAGGATACATTTTTAAACATTATATACAGTTTATTTAACTTTGTATCTAAAACATAACCGAGTTTCATTAAAAAGACGTTTAAGCTAACATTTCAGCAAACGCGAATAGTAGGTTGTGCATTTCATTCTTAGTGTCTACAAATGTAACTTGTCAAAGCGGTTACCAAGCTTGGCTTAATTAGAAAATATGATAGCAATGCCCACAGTCGAAACGAAGTAGCTATGTAAACACGCACTCGCTGCTCGCCAAACGACAACACGTCACTCACCGCGCATGTATTGGCCACAAGTGGTGGCATTGACTTCCTGTTGTCAGCGATTTGTAATATTCTGTCGTGCTGTTCTTAATTTCATTTATGAAATTTAATGCATTTTGACAAATATGTGGTATGTGCTGTTATTTTATTTATGCATAAACTCATTAAAAATGTAAATTGCAGCTGAAGTAATGTGCAGCCAGATTAACAGAAATGTAATTATTATTTTATGCGTGCATAACATGGCACTGTAAAATATTTTTAGGTTGAAAAGCTGAGATTGATTAACACTGCCGCTGACTTGAAAGCTGCTACACTCAAGTTTTGGTTGGAAAAAAATTGGAAATAAAATAAAGCTATTTGCCGAATCAACTTCAAAATTTAGCAGAATATTTTTAAAAATTCAACTCACAAAAGAATGTATTTTTTGTTATATCCTCTTTTAATAAAGTCTATCTTCACAACTTCTCACTTTTGTCTCTATTTGTTTGTATTTATATGGAATATATTATAACGCAAATATATGTAATAATACAGGCAAAGTTTGTATTTGCATGCCCATTATCTCATGCTGATAAAATTCCAACGACTCGTAAATACTAGAGCTTAGTTGCTTTACAGTTGACAGAGAAGATGCAAAAGCGAGGTTAGAAACTCGAAGTGTACACATATTAATTTATATACATTATGTATGTACATATACAAATATACATATGTATATACATACAATAAAACATATTTACATATGTGCACGAAGTTTGAAGCTGCAGTAAGGGTACAGAATAAAGTGTGAGGAAACAACGTAAAAACCCAAAATGTCAAACATATTTACCAGTAAACAAACAGAAATCAGCAACAATGCAAAACCAGCTGTTAACACTTTTTTGTTAGAGCTACTAATTTGCGTGATGTATATAAATTAAACTAATATCGGCTAAGAATGCWAACCACAGACAACATATAAAAGAAAATGCTAGTCTACAATTTTATTTTATTTAAAAATATATATTTTTTTAAATTAAATAAAAATATTTTTTTTTTATTAATAATATTTGCATGAGGAACATTAACTTGCGTTGTTGCGCAGAAAACAGATTGTGCAAATAAAGACTCAAAAGTAGTTTAATAAAAAAAAATATAAAATAAAACTCCAACCGTTAACTACAATTATAATACCACTAGAGAAGTGATATTAAAAATGATGATAAAGCAATTGAAACGCTCAAAGGTACTTTTGCACACTTATTTATGCATGTACATACATATATGTATATGCACGTTATGTATGTACATTTGTATGTTCACAATAACATATGCGTACAATAACTGCTGGCTAAAGGTATTTGACTGTTTCACTAGAATGTGACTGTGCTAAACTAACAGCTTCAGTCAGCAATGGCACTACAATAACAAAACAAAAAACATGGTCGCCAGCTACCGAACAACAACTTGCAAAAAATAGCTAACAAAGCAAAATTAAATCGCATATAAAAAGAATTACGGCAATTTGATTTGTCCAACTGACTAACAGTTTGCTTGGCTAAATGAATGGATGCTTTGCTTTGCGGACGTTGATTGCCAGCAATAAGGTTGGTAAGACTAGGTATTAAAAGAGCTTTGTGTGCTAACCAGTTATAGCACATATAATCACACATACATAGACATATGTATATGTATGTATGTACGAAGGTTCATACATTCCTAATATGTTTCCAATAATGTTCCTCTAGCTACTACAAATGTGTATAAACGCGAAATCGTTGTTTACTCTTGTGGTAAGAGGCAGCGTAAAATTTTCTGCTAATTGTTATCTTTAGCGTTTTTCAAATTTGATTTAAAGTAAGCAATGACGGAATTTATTAAAAATTTTATGATACCGGTTTTTAAATTTTAAATACCGTTCTTATCTGTATCGGAGCGAAAACTTGGTCAACAACTTTATTTTCTCTATTTTTTACTTGAAACACTTTTCGGAAACTCCTACAAATGTAGCACACCACAATTTTTTTTTTTTTAATATACCTAGTATCGTAAATTTAAAACAAAGAATCGATTTGATTTTTCATAAGGCTTGTTTTCATAACATAATCAATCAGACATGAGGAATACTACTAGCTTGATATATGTACATATGTATGTATGTATGTATATTTGCGCACATTAGGTAAAAAAATATTTCGAAATTCATTACTGTCACAGACAAATCACAATTCAGAAAATATTACAAAACAATTGCACTCCTACTGCTACATGCGCAAGCTCACCTGGCAAATGGTGTTTGTTCCAATTCGTATATTTCGTTAATATCGTCCGCAACCAGCAGCTCTTTTAGCCGATCCTCATTGATGTCCAAGAGGCCATCACCAATTGGGAAAATGCCTTCCGTAAACATTTTGTTTACTTTTCGTTCAATGTTAAAATTGCAAAATTTTTTATCTATTTTTTAAAATCACAGCGAAGTAAAACTTCACAGTAAATGCGAAAAATTGCTATGCAAATATAAGAAATCCCGTTTAAATTTTACACTTTTTAGCAAAATTTTTGAAACATTTATTCGCTGCGCGCACGCGTACACTAAATTATTTCCAAGTAGGTAATATTTTTTTATTTTCGTTGACTTTAGGCCAAACTAATTGATACAGCAGTAACAACTTTAGAGCCGACACTATTTTATATGTATTTCAATTAAATTTATTTATTTCTGTGATATGAGGGAGTTAATTTCCAAGAATTTAACACGGCAAGAGCACAATGTAAATTTCTTATTTATTAATATTTTTATATTTGTTAGGATGAATCAGAGATGTGTGAATTTCGTTTGTTTTCCAATATACACTGCTATTTCACAAAACACACAAATTGTATTGTAATTTAACGAATGCAAACTTGTTTCAAATTTGCTATTCTGGTCTTAAATTATTCTTCAGCTTCACTGATATGTTTCCTCACTGTTTTTTGTACGTATACTATATTTTTCGTTGTCTACCAGTTACGTTTTATTTCGCATCCAATTTAACCACTTCTTCTTTTGCTCTGCTACATCTTCTACTTTTTACGGCTTTCGTTTTCCATTCGTTTGTTCGTACGTTCGTTTCTACACTTGGTACGTTCGTGGGTTAACTCAACATTTTTTGAGTTTCAACTAACTAGCTTCATAAATGAAATTTTGTCTCCACTACAATCAGAATGTGTTCTATGCACAAGCTTAAACACAAACCCTTCTTTCGATTTGGAAATAGTCAAAATATTTTATTTCACACTTAGAATATGGTTAAGGAAATCGTTGTCGTAATTGTTGTTAACAGCAGGGAGTGAAGTTACAACTTATTATGTACAATTTTCTTCTTTGCACGTTCTCCTTTTTTTCGTTTCACAAACAACGCAACGCGACGAAAGGCGGGCGAGCGAGCGAATGAGCAAGCAAACGGAGTTTTTTTTTTTTTTTTAATCAGAATGTGATTTCTCAAATTAACATCACGATTATTTTGAAACTTTACCAATTCAATCGGTTTACTCCACTTCAAATAACACTTAATTCACTTCTTCACCAAACCGATAGTTTTTTAATCCCGAAAAACTTTATATCAGTTTTAGATTTAAGAAAACATGTTTTGTGCAACGTCCGCTTTCTGCATTCATTCCACCTTTCACGTACAAAGAGCGATTTTCGAATGCCTCAACATTTTTCTCTTCATGTTTAGCAGCGCCATTTCGCTGACAGCTGCGGATTTTTGCGGTGTTGCCAACCAATTAGAGTTGCATTTTCTGACTGAGACATTTTCAAATACTGCGTGGAAATTAAGACACAAACGAGTGGCAACTATGGCTCACTATTGGAAATGTCAATTGAGCGGAAAGGTGGTAAATAAATATTGTTAACATATCAATTTTATTGGAAAAATATTATTGAAATTACTCAAATAACTAAGTTCAAAAACTTTTTTTGTTTATTAACTGTGTGAAGTATAAGTTCAAAGCAATATTACCCCGCTTTAACAAGCTGCGCAAATACGTGTTTCAAAACCGATTGGTAACGCTAAGCCATGTTTATTGAGCTTATTGCTTGACATTTCCGCAGTCAAATGAAAATTGACGTTTCAAGTTATATTTATGGAGTTCCGGTAATTTAATTTCGCGCCGGATGCCAATTGTATTGCAAAGAAACAAATTTTGATATTATTGAGTGAATAGTTGTTATCAACTTGTGTATATATTATATTAAATTAATTAATTTGGTTAGGCAAAGTTGGTAAGTACTGTATTCAGAACAAATTGGTTCTTGGTTAGATGGATGGATGATATTGAATTTTTCTACAGAAAGTCGAGCTTCCTTCAGTGTAAACAAATATTTTTACAGCAATTCGATTACATTAGTTTTTCGAGGATGTCTATCTATGACACAGCGTTAAGTGCCGCCAAGTAAGATGACTAATAAATTTACCTACATTTATTTATATATTCTTAATGCAAATCTCAGAAAAAAAAAATACCAAAAATATCTTTATATTTTCAACACTTTACCTATAGCCAAAAATAAATGCTTATAATAAAAATCGGTAATGAATGCATAAATTCTGAAATGACTAATAAAAGCAAGCAATTGAGATATATCATCGCGCAATAATACAGCTAATTGTGTACTAATTTTACATCTGAAATATTTTCCGCTTGAGAATTCAAATTTGTTAGTGCATTACATTGCAGCGTGCGTGCTCGTTTGTACGCGCCGATACTTGTGTGTGCGGGATATGCAAGAATGCGAATATGCACGCTGACTTTAAAAATAATCCGCAGTATTTTTATACACCTATAACGTATTTGCAATTGAAGCGCCGATAGAGGCGAAGTGCAAAAACCCCAAACGGATTTACGCGATCTTTAATTTTCAACACAAACAACTCAATCGAACGAGAGCGTGCGCAGCCAACGGCTAAGTGGCGTGGATGTCTAGTGGCAGCTGGCTGTGTTGCACAAACGGATATACTGATGCTGCTAGGTAAGTGAATGAGCACACAGGGCGCGTTTTAGTGAATGTGCGCTAAATTCCACATTCCACCAAATGTTGTCGTACCTAAATTCCCTATACACAGTGAATGAGTACTATAAGCTAGACATGTAACTGTGCGTATGTGCGTATAAGAAATCCATTTATTAGTTTTGTTTTGCAAATTTGTAGATTTATGTAGTATTTTTTATTAAAAAAAAGCATTTCGTATATTATTCTTTACCACAATACTTTAAGTTTAGTTAGTAATAGAGGAAACACAGGTCTAAATTTTTTTCACTAAACCTTGCTTGCTGGAAATTGAAAATAGGAAGAGATGTGCCTTAAAAATTTGGAAAAGTCCACTGTATAGATCTCCATATATACATTTTTCGTTATATCAGTATCTGTATATTGCTTTAATGAGCTTACATTGTGATATAAAAGTGATGTGATCAAAGACCGGAAATAAAGCTATAACCTTCTTCAATATGTTAACAACACTTCGCCGAAAGGGGAGTTCTAGATTCGAGGTTTCGGAATGTACGAAGTGATAACGGTCCTACAACCACCCAGAAACTGAAATGGCTGCACGACAGTCCGGCCAACAGCCATTTTTCGGTGCTCTAGTCCTGTTGACGTCGAAAGTTGGTACGAAGTATCATGTGTGCTGGCTGCCAAAGAATTCCTAAAATCGCGCATGTGAAGTTCATGTTTCAAATAATCAAAGCAATCGCAAAGTTCAATGTTCGATGCTAAATTTTTTTCAAAATAGAAATTCTTTAGCGTTTCCCTTTCTATTTCTCGACTGCTCAAGTAAGGGAGTAAAGTATTGGCAGTTTTTCAAGTGTAAAAGATCACAGTTGCGCTTTCCATTGTTGACCTCACGCATTGTTATCAAAACAATACCCAAATGCCAACTAGTTTGTTGAACTTAATCGTTGAGTGCTGGCGGCGGTGTCTAAATGCTGCGTCTGCATCATTCTCATTAGTCGCATTTGCTATTTACGATTAGATATTTTCTGAATGTTTAACAACAAACACAGCATCGGCGCATTCCTTTGTACCGCCGGCGTCATCATCTTCGCCTTCGTCGCCGTCGGCGCACCTGCTAAAAATAAGTCCAACGCCAAATGACTTAACTTTGGCAATGTTGATCCAAAAACGTGGTGCATTCTTGCCAAAACTATGGACGGCGCGCGCCGCAAGATCACACACACACATCAGTTATATGTATGTATGAGTGCGTGTAGTTGTTGTATTTGCATTTTGCTTTTACATTTGCTGATGACAATCATAAGCGCCTAAACACAGTTGAAGTGCAGGAATGCAGGCAGCAGTACCGTGTGTTAATGCTTGAGCGCCTTAAAATAGATGCATTTCCCCCAAGTTTATTTATTTATTTTTTTCCCTTAACCCAAAACAACAACAGAAAATGCGTGTCATCGGCGCTAGTACATCCACCCCTGCAAACACCTTGCCATCCACTTTCACTACGGAATTCTTCAGCGAGCCGGATCGCAATAACTCATAGCTGGCGCCGGCACCATTATTGGGAACACCACATTGTTGGCATGGCGATGACGACAATGTAATAGAGTGACGTCGTAACTTTGGAAAGCTTTTTTCTTTGAGAATTTTAGTAATATTTTGGTTGCTTTAGCATCATACTAATTGACCCGTTCTACTATATTTGCTTAAGACAGCCCATTAATTTAGTCAAATAACAAATTAATTATGGGATATTATCGACATTAGTCAGTGATCATTACGATCACGATTAATTTGTAAAGCTACAATTTTGATGACTGTCAAATAATCGAAGTTGAAGGGACACTAGCTCCAATTTTGTTTTTTTTTTTTTTTTTTTGTAGAAAATGCTGATTTATAAAGTGGTCAGTTATAAAGTTCAGTCACTTAAAAGTTATATTTATCAACTGAAGAAGTGCTATATATACAAGGGAAACCCCAAATAACCGATTATGATGAAAATAGTTCTCTAACTTAACCTCACATTTTAGAATAATAACAGCAGATCATTGCAATTTCTTATCGAATTCTATTCGTGATCTCATTTTAATAATTATTACACTTCTTTCCGCATGTCCTCGCCAATCTCAACAACTTTGGGTGTTAGAAAATAAAATATTGTCGTAATATCTTGAAACCATTGCTACAGCATTTTATTTCTATGCCCAATATCGACTGGACGGGAGTGTCATTCGTCAAGAGGCGATAGAACAGAGCCGACACTAACCATTTTAGTTTGTATATGTATGTATATCTATTCTCCAAATTAGCCCTTTCATAATACCAAGGTATGTATGTACCTTTGCATTCTTTATTACACAATCTCCTTTAAAAGCTCATTTCATGGTTTCCATTCTTGTAATGTAGACGAATTTCAAAAAACTATTTGGAATATCTACATATACATAAATGCAAAAACCACAACATGAAAAGTTATGTTGATGATCATTTAATGGTGTCCAACTATGCTTTTTTGCAATCTTACGGCCACATTAAAAGTGTTTTATAGCCATAGGCATTTAATGCATTCGATATACATATAAGTATATTAGTGTGTGTGTATGAGCACTTTTGCATATTCATCTGTGAAGATTTACGAGATGCTTGAGAATCTTGTCGCCGCATATTTACGATTTATTTAGCACGCAGTCCCTTGGGATTTGGCATTTCTATGTGGCAGGCAATTATTTGGTGCGACTTCCCTCGCATATTTGTGCTAAATACTTAACTGCAACTTTTTGATGTTAATATTATTATTTTTTTTTCTTGTGTATGTTCGCTTGTGAATGCATTAAGGAAAAGATAATAAATATGAAGGCATGTAGAAATTATTATATTAATGCACTTATGGCATGTAAATTAATGAATTCACATACAATTTTAAATATTTGTTTGACATCAATTCTAAATGTAAATAAATATACATATTTGAATGATGTTGCCAACTATTGTTGTTTGGAGTTTTGTTTATCTGAAGAAGCTTAATGTTTTCCAGCAACTTTTAAATAATGCACTGACTTTTAAGAAATGTTCTAAAAACTAAAATAACGGTACAATAGTACTAGCCATGCAATTCAGTGTAGCCAAAGTGGTTTTTAGACGGCTAAACGAACTCTCTTCACTCATAGCAATAATATTTATGCAAACAAGCTTATTATTTTATAAGTTTTTTTTTTTTATTTCACATTCAATTGAGTAATTTTGATAACTAAAAATGTGCATATTTTATTTTTTACAATTTGCGTATAAATTTATTACATATAAATTCTAAAATGTTCAATGTTGTTTGGTATAATTTGCATAAAAAGTCACATATGTATGTATACTAATGTTCCATATTTATTGCTATTTTCAATTGATGATTACAATCAAATTTGTTTCCTTTTCATATTATGAAAATATTTAATTGGACAGTATAACTCAAGTAATTAATAGCACAGCGACTCTTAAAACAAAATTTAATTGACAAAGTGTTGGTTATTTTATATATAAATAGCTAATAACGGTAAATGTGTGAAAAGTGCTTAATATATAACATTTCAACGCCTCTATGAATTATGAAGAAACAGCTAAGTGTAATTAAAGTAAGTTCTAAATAAAAATAATTTTTTTTTTACTCATATAACAATTACAAAATGACGTCAT